GGGGGTGGGATAACATGTGTTGAGCAGGGAAGGGAGGGATCAGTTCAAGGGATGAAAGGGACTGTGAGTTGAGAGTGCAGGAGGGGTGAGCAGAAATGGTGCAGGATCAGCAGTATCACATCCTGGAGGGATTGAGAACAATGATAAGTCAGGGCCAGGGGGAGTGTGAGACAAGCATGGCATCAATTGAATATGTATTGAATAGTACAACTTCATTTGACGAAGGAGCAGCACTCTAAAAGCTTGAGTTTTCAAATAAACCTGTTGGACCATAACCTGGTGTCGTGTGACTTCTGATTTTGTCCACCCCAGTCCAAAACAGGCACCTCCGCATCATAACTTTTCCTCAGTAGCTATTTAATTAATTCTCAAATTTAAATGGATATTCTTGGAGGATTCCAAGCAGAGAGATACTGACCATTAAATTTTCAATTTCCTATGCAATTAGAGTCATACAGCACAAAACAGACCCATCAGTCCAATTCTTCCATGCTGACCAGATATCCTAAACTAATCTAGTTCCATTTGCCTGCATTTGGCCCATATCCCTCTAAACCATTCCTTTTCATGGACCCATCCAGATGGTTTTTAAATATAGAATGAGGAACAAAGAACAATACAGCACAGGAATGGGCCCTTCGGCCCTCCAAGCCTGAGCCAACACATTTTTTTGACCGTAATTGTACCTGCCCCCACCACTTCCTCAGGCAGCTCATTCCAAACATGCACCACCCTCTGCATGAAAAAGTTCCCCCTCACATCCTTTTAAAATCTTTCAGAGATAGTAAGTACTGCCGATGCTGTAGTCAGAGATAACACAGTGTGGAGCTGGAGGAACGCAGCAGGTCAGGCAACATCAGAGGAGCAGGAAAGTTGACGTTTCAGGTCGGGACTGTTCTTCAGAAAATCTTTCCCCTTTCACCTTGAACCTATGCCCTCTACTTTTGGACTCCTCTATCCTAGGAAAAAGACGTTGGCTATTCACCCTATCCATGCCCCTCATGATTTTATAAATCTCTATAAGGTCACTCCTCAGCCTTCGACGCTCCATGGAAAATAGCCCCAGCCTATTCAGCCTCGCCCTGTAGCTCAAACTGCCCATTCCCAGCAACATCTTGTAAATCTTTTCTGAGCCCTTTCAAGTTTATCAAGTTTAGCTGGGAGACCAGAAATGAATGCAGTATTCTAAAACTGGCCTCACCAATGTGATGTACATCCACAACACAATGTCCCAAAACCTATTCTCAGGATTCTGTAGGATTCCCATACGCATCCCATCCACACTGAAAAAATGACTGTCTGGCCATTGGAAGATTCAGGCCATTATTTACAAAGGTGTTTCTTGTGATCACAGACAAGGGGAACTGGGGAGGAAGGGCACCTCTGGAGGAGACTAAGGAGAAGCTTCTATGCACCGTATCACATCCCTATGGGTATCTGATGACATTAACCCATCTCACTGTGAGGAAGGGGCACCAGGACGAAAGTCAGTAACCTTTCCATAGCAACAGCCAGAAGCACACACCAGTCAGTCAGCATGGTTTAAACATTAAAGAATCTGATGTAATTACTGAACATTTAGTGAAGAATAATAAAAAAAAGTCTTTTGTTCAACTGCATTGATATCATGGGGGACTTCTTTAACTTGAGGAATAAAAAAGGTTGGAACGAATCATCATTCAGTAGGATATCCAATTCTAATGTTAAACAATACCCACAGTGTATAAATCAGAGTTATATATCAGCATTCCATATTCTGCTAATGTTGGAATGTGTGCCGAAATACATTTAGTTCCAAATAAACTGAAAGAGAAGAGATGCACCACAACAAAAGTCCAATTATCCTTTCTCTGAATTATCCAGGCTCCCAGTATGTTGGCTGTATTATCTGACATTAACACTTCCTTGGTCCAACCAGCTGCAAATACACAAACTGGTAATTTTGTCTACTACTTCAATAACTAGAGATCGTGGCCAGGGAAAAGACTGAAAAAAATGCACAGAGAAAAGATCTTTGTATAAAGAAAAGTAACTACAACTTTCTCTGTCACTGTCCTATTGATTTTAATGCAGTTTTACTAGAATGTCTAGTAATACAACACAGAATCTAATTATTATTAAATTCCTCTACTTTGAAGGAAGAAACAAAGTGTGTTTCACATCCTTAGGATGTTCCAGTGTTTCACAGCCAATGAAGCACATCAAATGCTTATCGAAACATATAAGGTTCTTAGGGGATTTGACAGAGTAGATATGGAAGTGTTGTTTCCCCTGTGGGAGAATCTAGGAGCAGAGGGCATAATATTAAAATAAGGGGTTGTACATTTCAAATGGAGATAAGGAGGAATTTCTTCTCTCACAGGACAGTGAATCTGTGGAATTCTTTACCAGCAATACTGTCGAGAGTATGTCATTAACTATATTCAATGCTGGGACAGACAGATTTTTAATCAGTAAGGGGAATTGAGGGTTATGGGGAAAAGGCAGGAAAGTGGAGTAGAGGATTATCAGATCAGCCATGATCCCATTGAATGGTGGAGGAGACATGATAGGAGAATGGCCTACTTCTGCTTTTTCATCTTATGGTCTTATGATCAAATTGGTGCATAACAAAATCCCACAGACAACATTCAACTACAGTAGCTCAGTGGTGGCCCAGTGGCTCAGTGGTTAGCATTGCTGCCTCGCAGTGCCAGGGACCCAGGTTTGATTCCAGCCCTGGGCAACTATGTGGAGTTTGCATATTCTTCCCGTGTCTGCATGGGTTTCCTCCGGGTGCTCCAGTTTCCTCCCACAGTCGAAAGATGTGCAGGTTGGGTGGACTGGCCATGCTAAATCGCCCATAGAGTCCGGGGATGTGCAGGCTAGGTGGGATAGCCATGGGAAATGCAGGGTTACAGGGATAGGGTAGGGGTGTGGGTCTGGGTGGGATGCTCTTTAGAGCATCAGTATGACTCAATGGGCTGAAAGACCTGCTTCCACATGTGAGGATTCTATGATTCTAACTACTTTACTGCTCAGAAATTATAAAGAAACAAAAAAATACTGAAGCTGTCCAGCAATATTTTCTCCTTATCAATTGTGATGCCAATGTCCCTTCAAAGGAAAAATGTGATTATTGTATATAACTCAGTTTAATAAGAATAAATCAGATGACGTAGTACAGAATTTGAGTATTGATGAAAAATGAAAAATATTGCTGAATCTTTTAGCCTTGCACTCATCAGGACAGAAGCAAAGAAGGAAGCAACTATTTATATGGCATGAGAAAAGGGTGCTCATTGGCCAGCATGTCAATTCTGCCCAGTCAGGGCATTGCCATGGAAAAAGCACGAGGGAAGTATCGTTCTCATGTTTAGTGTATTTCAAATAAAGCTCAATGTCTGGGCATGTTCCTTCTTCCTACAGCAGCTAGGTGCCTGCCTATGAATAGAAACAATGTCTAGCAAGCATAAGTGAACCACATCTTGTATCCCGCCAATAATCTTAAATTGAATATTATAATTCTTAACACATTATACAGGAAACTTTGCAGATGGAATTTAATCCAGACAAGTGTGACGTAATGCATCTTTGATTGATTTGAGTTTGAGTTTGATTTATTATTGTCAGATGAGCTGAGAAATAGTGAAAAGTGTTGTTTTGTGTGCTATACGGGCAGATTGTGCCATACAAAGTGCATCAGGATAGCAGAACAGAGTGCAGAATAGATTGTTACAGCCGCAGAGAAGGTGCAGGGAGAGAGATCAGAATTAACATTTCTGAGGTCAAATACAAGTGAAAAATACACAATACATGGCAGGACCCTTAGAAGCATTGATATACTTTAGAGATCTTGGGGAGCAAGTCCCTAGCTCCCTGAAAGTAACAATAAAAGTGGATAGGTTGTAAAGCAGGCATTTGGCATGCTTGCTTTCATCGGTCAGGGCATCATTGAGTATTAAAATTGGCAAGTCATGTTGCAGTTGTATAAGACTTTAGTTCGGCCACATTTGGAGTATTGTGTGCAGTTCTGGTCACCACACTATAGGGAGGACGTGGAGGCTTTGGAAAGGGTGCAAAAGAAGTTTACCAGGATGTTGCCTGGATTAGAGTGTATTAGCTATAACGAGATATTGAACAAAATTATTTCCACTACAGCATCAAAGGTTGAGAGGTGACCTGACACAAGTATATAAAATTATGAGAGATACAGATAGGGTGGATAGTTGAAGTCTCTTTCCCAGGGTGGAAATGGAAAATACTAAGGGGCATAGGTTTAGGTGAGACAGGAAAAGTTTAAAGGAAATGCACAAGGAAAGTTTTTACATATGGGATGATAAGCACCTGGAACATGCTGCCTAGGAAGGTGATACAAGCAAATACAACAACGACATTTAAAAAGTATTTGGACGGGCACATGAACATGCAGGGAATAGAGGGATCTGGGCCACATGCAGGCAGATGGGTTCAGTTTAGAATGGTATCATGGTCGCCCAGACATGGTGGGCTGAAAGGCCTGTTCCTAAGCTGCATTGTTTCATGTTCTGTTTCCTATTTTTATACTTCATTTCCCTTAAATAAAACCCAATGGTCCATTTGCCTTCCTGTTTTTCCCCAGTGAACTTGGATGCTAACTTTTTTGTGATTCATGTAACTCTGCAGTACTTTGGCTCACCACCAATCAGGCTTACTCTGGGAATTACGAGGGAAACTTAAATTTATGTCCAACCCAAAACCTTCATTTAAAGTCAGCAGATATAAGTTTGCCTGGTGTCAGGGTGGCAAAATCTGGGCTCCACATTTCAGGTCAATGATGAAAGACCTTTGAATAGAGATATTAACTCTTCTCCACAGAGGCTTCATATTTCCAGCAATTTGTTTTTATTCCAGGTTCCCAGCATTTTCAGTATTTCAATTTTTGATTCAGAAAAGAAATTCAAGTTGAAACTTGAAGAAACTAGTTTGTAAAAGCAAGAAAACAAAGTAAAATTCTGAGTTATCAAGCATGTGAGACTTACGTGCAAAGTACTGCCATGGGCTGTAGGATCTTCCAAAGTCAACTGATCTTTCAAGCACCCAAAGGTCAGGACGTGGAGAATTAGCAAACTTGATAAGAATATAAGCCACATGAAAAAGCTGTTAAGAAGACAAATGCTTTCATTAGTATTAATACAATTGCTCCTGCAATCAAAAATATTTACACATTTGATCAATTTGCTAATTGGAAGGAGTGTGTTTATGATCGTGTATGTACTTTTATTGTACATTATATTTGACTTTTACCAGAGGTTCTTAAATTGAAACATCAACTAATTTCATATCTATTAAGTTAAGGTGTTTCACCATTTTAATCACTTTTGTACCGCTTAATTTAATAATTAAATAATTACAGTCTATACAGTTTAAAGACCTCTGTCAGGCTTTAGCCCTCAATTTATACACAAAATATGTTCCCTGAGCGATACAAAAAAATTGGATGGTAACAATCTGTTCTCATGTGCCAGCTTCCAATGTATTAAGAATATAGAACATAGAACAGTACAGCATAGTACAGGCCCTTTGGCCCACGATGTTGTGCCGACCTATTATCCTACTAAGATCAATCTATCCTGCATACCCTACATTTTACTATCCTCCATGTGCCTATCCAAGAGTAGCTTAAAAGTCTCTAAAGTATCTGACTCCACTACCACTGCCGGCAGCGCGTTCCACACACCCACCACTCTCTGGGTGAAGAACCTTCCTCTGACATCTCCCCTATACCTTCCTCCAATCACCTTAAAATTATGCCCCCTCGTAATAGCCATTTGCACCCTGGGAAAAAGTCTCTGACTATCCACTCTATCTACGCCTCTCATCATCTTGTAAATCTCTATCAAGTCACCTCTCATCCTGCTTTGCTCCAATGAAAAAAGCCCTAGCTCCCTCAACCTTTCCTCATAATGCCTGCCCTCCAGTCCAGGTATTGTTTAATCTCAAGATAATACAGTTAAATTTTTTTTGGACTTCAAGCTGGTATTTGAGGATCAGACAGCCATTATAATGAGGAAGTAGAGGAAATTTCAAAATATGCTAAGGAACTTCAAACTGACAAATGTAATTAGTACAGGGGAGAATTCTGATAAAATACCAGAAGGTTTTTACAAATGTGTATAATGAGCATGTAATTGACAAATTAACCTCAATATAGATAAATATGACGTAGTATATTTTGGTAGGAAGTGTAAGGAAGTAACATTTTGTTTGAATATGTGTCTATAGGGCTAACTAACCTTTAATTAGAAATTGCTCGTTCTGGTCATGCAAACAGTATGAAAAATTCACAAATATATTATGACAGCAGTATTATGACAGATTAATTAGCTATCCTGTGGGTTGAAAGATGCCACTAAATTTTGAGATTACAGACAAATAAAATAGGAGAAGTGTAAAATGAACACTTGGTGAACAATAAGATAAGGCAATGGAATTACTAAATGAATTAGAGTACATTGAGAGTGTATCAATGGACATGAAAAACACAGTGGAAAGTACAAACTTTCAACTTACGCATGAATTGTAGCTTGAATCTATTTAGTGACTTCAATGTATGTTAACATTCAAAGGTATTTCACAGGTCTGTTATCAACCGTAATTTGACGCTGAATCACATAAGGAGATAGTAGCACAGATGACCGAAAGCTCGATCAAAGAGATAGGTTTTTTTTAATACAAACAAAGAACACAGAAAAATACAGCACAGGAACAGGCCCTTTGGCCCTCCAAACCTGCGCCGATACATTTTGCCCTTCCATACTGAAACTGTTTTCACTTACAGGATCCGTATCCCTCTATTCCCTTCCTAGTCACATATTTGTCCAGGTGCTTCTTGAATGCTGCTACTGTGTCTGCTTCCACCACCTCCTCTGGCAACGCGTTCCAGGCACTCACCACCCTTTGTGTGAAAAACTTGCTCTGCACAACTCTTTTAAACTGCCCCCCTCCCCCCCCAACTTGCACCTTAAACCAGTTTCCTCTAGTAATTAACTCCTCCACCCTTATACTTGCCACTCTACCCATGCCATTCACAATCTTATAAACTTCTAACAGGTCGCCCCTTCAACCTCCTGTGTTCCAGTGAAAACAAACCCAGTCTATCCAACCTTCCTTCATCGCTAAAATCCCCCATGCCAAGCAACATCCTTGTAAACCTTTTCTGTAGCTTCTTCAAAGCATCCACAGCCTTCTGGTAATGTGGTGACCAGAACTGTATGCAATATTCCAAGTGTGGCCTAACTAAAATTCTATAAAGCTGCAGCAAAGCTTGTCTCTCCTTATACTCAATGTCCATCCCAGTGAAGGGGAGCATGTCATAAGCCTTTTTTACTACCTTATCTACCTGCGCTGCCACCTTCAGTGATCTGTGGACCTGCACACCCAGATCCCTCTGCATAGCAATACTCCTAAGGGTTCTACCATTCACTGTATAATTTCTACCTGTACTTGACCTTCCAAAATGTATCACCTCACATTTGTCCAGATTAAACTCCATCTTCCATTTTCTGCCCATGCCTCCAACTGATCTCTATCCTGCTGTATCTTCCGACAATCCTCCTCACTATCCGCAACTCCACCAATCTTTGTATCATCCACAAACTTACTAATTAGCCCAGCTATATTTTCCTCCAAATCATTTATTTAGATCATAAACAACAGAGATCCCAGCACTGATCTGCGCCACTAGTCACAGCCCTCCTTTCTGAAAAATATCCTTCCACGACCACCCTGTCTCCTAACACTAAGCCAGTTCTGTATCCATCTTGCCAGCTCACCCCGATACCATGTGACTTCACCGTTTGTACCAGTTTGCCATGAAGGGCCTTGTCAAAGGCTTTAATGAAGTCCATGTAGACAACATCAACCACTTTTCCTTCATCAATCATCTTCGTCACCTCCTCAAAAAACTCAATTAAGTTAGTGAGGCACGATGTCCACCGCACGAATAAGTCCATTTGCTTCTACATGCGTATAGATCTTGTCCCTGTGAATCTTTTCTAATAATTTCCCTACCACCAACGGGAGACTCACAGGCCTATAATTTCCAGGATTATCCCTGTTACCCTTCTTAAACAATGGAACAACACTGACTATTCTCCAGTCTTCTGGGACCTCATCTGTGGCCAAAGAGGATATAAAGATGTCTGCCAATACTCCAGCAATTTGTTCTCTAGCTTCTCTCAGTATTCTGGGATAGATCCCATCAAGACCCGAAGACTTACCTACCTTAATACATTTGAAGACACACAACACCTCTTCCTTTTTAATAGCAACTTGGCTTAGAAACTCCACAATCCCTTCCCTGAGATCATCCTCAGCCAATTCCTTCCTTTTTGCAAATACTGACAAAAAGTATTTGTTTAGGACCTCGCCTATCTGTTCTGGCTCCACACATAGATTCCCTCCTTTGTCCTTGAGTGAGCCAACCCTTTCCCTGGCTACCCTCTTGCTTTTTTATATGTATAAAAGACTCTGGGATTCTCCTCAATCCTGTTTGCTAATGATTTTCCATGATCCCTTTTAACCCTTATAATTCTTTGTTTAAGTTCTTTCCTACTTTCCTTATATACTTCAAAAGCTTCATCAGTTCGCATCCTCCTAGACCTTATGTATGCTTCCTTTTTCTTTCTGACCAAGGTCATAATGTCCCTGGTCATCCAAGATTCATGTAAATTGCCATACCTTCATTCTTGCAGAAATGTGCCTCTCCTGGACTCTTTTCAAAAGCTGTTTGAAATACTCCTACATGTCCAACCTAGGTTTACCCTCAAACAGCCACCTCCAATCAAAATTCTCCAGTTCCTGCCTCATACTGTTGTAGTTTGCCTTCTCCCAATTTAACAATGGGGACACAATGGCCTTGTGGTATTATTGCTGGGCTGTTAATCCAGAGACCCAGGTAACGTTCTGGGGACTGGGTTCAAATCCCACCACGGCAGATGGTGAATTGCAAATTCAATAAACAAATCTGGAATTAAGAGTCTAATGACGACCATGAATCCATTGCTGATTGTCAGAAAACCCCATCTGTTTCACTAATGTCCTTTATGGAAGGAAACTGCCATTCTTACCTGGTCTGGCCTACATGTGACTCCAGACCCCCAGCAATGTGGTTGACTCATAACTGCCCTCTGGGCAACTAGGGATGGGCAATAATGCTGGCCTAGCCAGTGTGCCAGTGAATGAATAAAGGAAAAAAAAGACACCTTCACCTGAGGACTGCTGTTATCCCTATCCATGAGTATCTTAAAACTCACGGTATTATGGTCACTACTGCCATTCATGCATGGAACGGAGTCATCGCTGGGTGGGTCAGCATTTATTGGCCATCCCTTATTGCCCCTTTAGCTGAGTAGTTTGCTACATCATTTCAGTAAAAAGTTAGGGACAATCACTTTGCTGTTATGAGGAAGGGTCACCGGACCCGAAACATTAACTCTGATTTTTCCTTCACAGATGCTGCCAGACCTGCTGAGCTCTTTCAGCAACTTCTGTTTTTGTTCCGCATTGCTGTGGGCAGTCACATGTTAAAAAAAGGGAGAAGTCGCCAAAGTCCCAACGGAGCCATAGGGCTGCTCTTTCCTTTGATGAAGATGGCTGGTGCTGGTTTAACCAGAGGCTCACGGGCAAGGGGAGAGATTGACAAGGAGAATCCTTCATGGTAACCTCAGCCGGTGTGGGTCCTATGGGAGTCACATGTAGGCGATACCAAAATTCCTTTGTGAAAGGTCATTAGTGAACTAAATGATAGAATCAACAATGGTTTACACAGCTGCAATAAGGCTAGCTTTTAATTCCAGATTTTTATTGAATTCAAATTTCTGTTAAAGTGATATTCAAACCCATTTGTCCGGGGTTCGGGATTATTGGTTCAATGATATTACCATTATGCCACTGCCTCCCCACATGCATGTGGAGAAAATTGCAGAGGTTAAGCCTCATGTTCAAATCCCTCCATTGCTTTGACTTATCATCTTTCCAGATTTGTATGTTGAGCTATTTCCAAATAAGCCTCCTGTAACTGTACAGCAGTCTACACAGAGATTTTTCCCATGCTTCAATTAATGGATTTTCCAGGGATTTGGCTTTCCATATGATGG